GGGAGAGAACTGTGCCCACAGGAGTGAGACTCATCAGCCTGAACATCCCAGGGTTCCTGTCCCCCAACTCCATGGGAAATGGGACAAAAACCCAAAAATACAACATTGTCAGCTCCTTCTTGCCCCATCCCACCTGGAGGAAGTAGATGGTATCAGTGCTGGGGACATTCTCCAGGCTTTGCTTGCACTGTGCCAGCTTGGCTCGTCTCTGCTCCTTCCAGCGGAGATCGGCCTCGGCCTCCCCGAGCATGGAGCGCTCCTCGTCCTCGATGAATCCCATCACCTCCTTCTGGAAGGCTGCCAGCACCTCAGAGGCCTCTGCAAAGAGCTTCTCCACCCTGTCCCTCTCCTTTGTGGCAGCACCCTGAGTGCGGGGAGAGAGGGGTCAGGTCCCAAGGTGAGGGTGCAGGAGGTGCCCTGCCCAGCACCCAGTTCTCAGCTCCGTGGAATCCCCCTGACACTCCATCACCCTCTTCACCCAAGAACTCAGATCACTTCACAGTGCAGCTGCCAAGAGACCTGGCTGGACACTGCCACTTCCTGCTGCACCACATTTGGTATCCCCAAGCAGGAAAGTGATGTGTTTGCACAAGGGCCAAAGGGGACAACCCCCCCATGAGCCTGGGGAGACAAGGTGCAAGAGCCAGAGGATGTCCTGGCACGGCCCTTGCCCTGTTCCTTCTTCCATGTTAAAAATGAAAGCAACCAGAGATGCCAGGAGTGTTAGCAGAGATGAGGAGAAAGAATCCTCAGGGATCTCTGCCAGGATCACATAATTCATGGTGCTCCTGTGAGCACCATCTTTACACCCCACGCACCCCAAAATCTCACAGCCCCTTCTCCTCCACCCCCAGCCCAGCAGAGCTGCACTACCAGAGATAAGGCACTGCAGAGTCACCTTAATGAGCTCCACCATCTTCTTGGCCTGGGTGATGGTGACTGCCAGCTCCTGCAGCTCATTCTCTGCATCGCTGAGGAATTTGGCTTGTTGGGCCTGCAGACATGAAGGACAAACACTGAGCTTTACCCCCAGTCCCAACGGGAGCCACAGGGCATTCAGCCTCTCCTTAAGCTTAATCCACAGACCCTCTCTGACAGAGACCTTGCTATTCAGGTGAAGGATGCAAGGGGAACCATGAGTTGTTGTCCTGTTTTCCTTCCCTGCAACATCCAACCTGCAAACATCCCTTCTCACTCAGCTGGGAAACGAAAGGGTCATGTCCAGCTCCATATTCCCCACCCTGGCCCCAACGGAAACCAAACAAAACAGGAATTGGAAAGCAAACCCATCAGGCAGTGATTGCAGCTAAGCAGTGCTCTTAGCAAGTATCCAGGGCTGGGAAAAATCCACCTGGGTTTGGTGCAGAAGCTGAAAGGCAAACCTGGAGCACCCAGACACTCAGCACAGAGTCCCCATGAGGTTTCTGTTTAGGAGCAAAGCAAACCAGCTCCGCAGCGCGGGCTGCAAAGGAAGCACCTTCGGAACACGGCGTTTCCTGAGATGCTATTGTTGGCTCAGCCATTGCCCATCACGAGGACGGGTCCCTCGGGAGCCAGGAGGGCACTCCCCAGCCACGACAGCTCCCTGCTGATGCTCAACCCCCGGCCGTGGTCCCTGCAGCGCTTGTTCCCGGGGAGCAGCTACAGGTGCTTTCCCCGGACACCCATCCCAGCCCGCAGCGGTGGCCGGGGGCAGTCACAGAGGTCCTGCAGGAGACATTGAGCAGCGCCTGCCGAGGTCTGACAGCTCCTCGGGGCTGGGATTACACACGCTTTCTATTTTAAGGCACCTCATGACTAATAGTGCTGATAAAAGGGTTTTCCTGCAATCTTTGCAGCCCGTCAGGAGGGGGAGCTGGCTTGGGGCTGCTGCTGCTTGGGGCTGGGCTCCTCCTTGGAAAAGGCAAACTTTCCCAAGGTCTCCAAATGCCTCATGGCCATGCGAGATGCCACCACACCATGAGCTCCACAGGTTCCCATCTGCCTGCAGCCCCACAGAGGCCCCACACTTTCAAGGCGGCAGTGCCCAGGAAGGCGGCACCACGTTGGGACTGGAGCCCCGGCTCCTGGGAAGGCTCGTGGGCGTGAGTTTAGGAGGTGACTCAGTCACATCTGGGAATGGGAGTGATGGAAAAACCCCCGCTGCCAAAACGGCAGGATACAAAAGGCTGGGGGAGCGGGAGCGGCGGCCGGGCCGGCTGCCAGCGCGGGCAGAAAAAGCGCCCGACGGAGCTGTGGGAACGAGACGGGGACGGCGGCCGCCCCAGGAGCGCGGGGGTGGCCGCTGTGGGGTGTCCCAGGCAGCCTCGCCCCAGCCCTACACCCACGGGATTGCCAGTCCGGCTCCGCAGCGGGAAGACTCCCCACGGGATGCCTGGCAGCGCCCCTGCCCCGATACCCATCCCCACCTGCCCATCCTGCCCCAATCCCAGGGGTTCCCTGATGGCGCAGCGCCCTGTCCATATATTGGGGTGGAATCCCCCGAGGGGTGAGAGCACAACACCCCCCCGCCACATGGCATCCCACCAGGGCTGCACCTGCACACACCCCACGTGGGGACAGGGCTCCCCGTGAGGACCTGGGTGCAGGATGGCACCCACGACACCCCCACACCAGCGTCCCACCCGCAGCACCCGCGTGGGCACCTCCGCGCCCCTCGCCACCCCGCGCACCTGCTTGTGCTCCCGCTCCTGCTCGAGGGGCACCACGTCGTGGGCGCGATGCTCGTGGGTGCGGCAGCGGGCGCAGACACAGCTCTGCTCGGTGCGGCAGAAGCCGTCGAGGGGCTGCAGGTGGCGGGGGCACAGCCCCTCCTCCAGCCGGCGCAGCGGGGCCACCAGCCGGTGTGCGCGGAAAGCCGGGGCGCGCCGGTGCGGCTCCAGGTGCGCCCCGCAGAAGGACGCCAGGCACACCAGGCACGACCGCTCGGCCGCCACGCGGGACTCCGGCGGGCACACATCGCACAGCACCACCGCTCCTTCCTCGCCCGCAGCATCCTCCTCCTCGGCTCCCGGCGCCATCGGGGATGTCGGAGACGCGGCGGCCGAGGGCGACGGGGACGAGCCGCCGGTGGCGGCCGCCAGCAGCGGCAGGAGCTCGCACAGGGCGCGGTTCTTGCAGAGCCGCAGGGCCGCGGGGACGGGCTCCTGGCACAGCGGGCAGCGGGCGGCCCCGCCCGCCCCGCCGCCGTCGGGGGGGCCTGGCCGCTGGCGGAGCTCCTGCAAGCAGCCCTGGCAGAAGTTGTGTCCGCACGGCACCGTCACCGGGTCCCGCAGCACGTCCAGGCAGATGGGGCAGCCGAGCGGACCCTCCGGCAGCCCCGGAGCCGCCAGCGCCAGCCGCAACGCCGCGGCGGAGGACGACGGGGCGCTCCCGGGCGCAGCATCCATCCCTGAACGCCCCGACCGGCCCCGGCCCCGGTCCCAGCCCCGGCGGGGGCGGGCGGCAGCCGCGCCCCGCCCGCCCGCTCCGCCTCCCCGCGACCGCAGCCGGGGCTCCGCTCGCCGCGGTGCCTGCGGGGCTGCTGCGCGCTCGGAGCGCTGATCCACAGCATCCACCGCGGCGTCCTGGAAAGGGTCTCACCCCAAATGGCATCTGCTCTCATCCGGGGAAGCTGTGCCAGCCCATTCCAGTCCCCCTCTCTAGGACCTGCTGCTCCCCTTGAGCATTCCTTCCCTCTCTAGGACCTGCTGCTGCTCCACTGCTCCCCAGGTTCTCCCCACCACCTGGCCACAAGAAAGGTCCTGAGCCCCCCCAGTGCACAGGTGCAGAGGCTTTCCTGCCAGCCCTCGTGTCCGTGGACCTACATCAGCCCTCCCCATGGCCAAAAAGGGCTGCAGTGCCCAGGTCCTGGCTCAGTCACTGTCCCCTTCTCCCCTGGGGTCTGGCAGAAACTGGCAGGCACCAGAGAGGGCTGGGAGACCCCAAAGTGCTTTTAGAGTGAAGATCTGCCTTGTGAGATCTCTGGACCCCTTCTGTGCAGGATACACAGACAATTTTTGGAGTTGGAGAAGTTCCCAGGTGGATGCTGGCCCAAGGCCTCACCCAAGGACAGGGCTGCGAGAGCAGGGATGTGTTGAGTGAAGCAGGAAGCACAAGACAAATAAAATATGTTCTTGATGAAGGGGATTGAACCTTTTAAGCTTTTTGTCCCCAAACTTAACAATGATGTGATTCATTCCCCAGGTATTCATACCCCCAGCACTTTTGAACCCAGTGCCCAGTTTCACCCTGTTAATCCTCACCAGCACTCCCACAGAAGCGGGAGGAGACGTTGGACCTGCAGTCTCACTCTTGGAAAAACATCAATGAAAACTTTCGACTTTCCTCCCTGCCAAATCAACCTTGGAGCAGAGCAGTAGGAAACCAGGTTTCCTTATCACAGTGCTACAGTAAATAAAGCACCTTCTGGCTCTGCTGGTCACTCATAGGACCCATGGGGACACAGAGGGGCAGGATGGGGCCCTGCAGGGATGGCTGTGGTAGTCAGCTCCCCCCCACCCCCACTGCTGCAGGGTCCCACATCTCCCAACAGCAGCAAGGTCAAAGCAGTAAGAAAATAAAGCTTTATTGGGAAAAGCAGCATTGTACAAAGACCTGCAGTGTAGAACCCTGAGAAGTTGCTCTGCCAGGTCTGAAAACAGCAAGAGAAAACCAAGAAGGGGCTGGGGGGAGCAGGACCTACCTGCATGTGAGGCTGTGTGAGCACAGAGGTCCCTCCAAATTGTTTCAGAGCACCCCATGGCAGCAGTACCTCCCTTCCCCAGGTTTGGGAGTTTGGCAGGGATAGAAGAGGAAAATCTCATTTTTTTTCACCCTCCTTATCCCTTATTTCCTTGCTCTGTCTGCAGGGACAGGCACCCATGGTGAGCTCCAGCCCTGCTATATGTCACTAGTGTGATATTTGCATATGCAAATCAAACAGGTTAATTTACATGTCTGTCCCCATCAGCTCTTGTTAAAACACTGCACTCCACACCTGCCTGAGCACTGAGGTCCCACTGCACCAGGACAGCCTCAGCTGCAGCTCCACTTTGGCACCAGCCTGGACCTGCCAGCTTTGCTATGGCTCTGGCTCAGTGCCTCTAGCACAGCGTCACCACTCGCCCCTCACACAGCCAAAACACAGGGTACAGGGGCTCTGTGAAGACACTGTGGAAGGAGTGGATGAGTTTTGTCCTCTCCCCGAGGCCGTAGAAGGAGAGGAGCCCCTTGCCATAATCCAGGCTGACCCCCAGGTTCTTATAGAGCTGCTCCTGGATTTTCTGGGCGTGGCCCTTGTGCCAGGCCAGGTAACAATCCTCCCTCACCTGCAGCCCCCACGAGCCCCCATCCAGCCCGATGTTGAAGCTGTGGCCCTGCTGCTGCTCCTGGGGGAGCCCCCGGTAGGTGACCCCCAGGATGACAGAGTGGCTGGAGATCTTCACCTCCCAGTAGTGGTGGCCGGGGCCGTAGCTCTGCGTGCACAGCACCTGCCAGGGCTCGAAGCGGGGGCCCTGCCCCTGCCCAGGGACAGTGCCAGGACTGTGCTTGGCTTTGCGGGCACCTTTGGACAGCTCCAGGTACTTGTTGGCTGTCTCGGGGTCGAAGGTCAGGTTGCGGTGGTCTGGGGGAAGCAAGGGGACAGATGGGGCTGAAATGCTTCATCAGACCTTTATGCCCTCCCAGCAGTGATGGGGTTTAAATTCTGTAGGGCTGGCCCCCGAGATGGAAGGGAACAGGGTGTTTGGAGGGGAAGGGTAGTGGGGAGGATGCAACACCTGCCCTAAAGAGAATGGAAAAGCCCAGAAATAGCTTTTGAGGCACTGAAACACAATGTTTTGCAGTTCTTACACAACCCAGCTCACAGCTGTGAGTTCACATTGTGAGCACAGTGGCTCTGTGGCCATTTTGGCAGGGATGTGCTTGATTTTAAGAGGAAAAAGTACCAGTGTGGGTTGGGAGAGGGAGAGAAAACCAGGTGTTAAGTGAGCAAATATGGTAGTGCAGGGAATTACTCTCCTCTGCATGGGCTGTGATAGCTCCTGCTGTGGGCATTCCCTGGCCACCAGCAGCTCACCTTTCTCCCCCAACACCTGGGCCTTGCAGCTGGCTGGGCTCCTGCCTGCTGCCCATAAATAACAGGGGGTTCTCATTAATAACCCTAAGAATGTTCTGTGGGGCCTGATGGAAGGAATTCCTGCAGGCAGCAATTGACTCCTTGGCAAGAGTGACATGACCAACATGGCCTGAACATCACCCAAACCTCTTCCCAACAGGGAGGAGGTGGGAAGAGGAGCACAGAGGAATTTCCTAACAACAGGGGATGGCTGGCCTGGGGAGGAAAGGGGACATGAAGGACTATAGCTAGGAATGCTGAGACCATACTCCTGGACAGAGAGCAATGACTGCAGGCATGGCTCTGGACTGGGGCTGTGCCATGCAGGGCAGTGACTGATCCAATACCAGACAGCCTCAGTTCCATGGGAAAGCAATTCCTGGTGCTCCTAATCCCCCTAATGGGTCCTTTCCCATCCCAGCCCATCCACCTTGCCCCCAGACCACCCTTCTCTGCATTTAGGGAGACACATTGGAAGAACCAGGGATGGTGCTCCTGTCCCTGCAGCCACAACCACCCTCCTCCCAGGAAGGAGCCTGGCTTGGTGACATCTCTTTGTGCTGGGGACCCCAGTGAGGTGCTGTCCCTCCAGGCCCTCTGTGCTCCTTACCTTTCAGAAGCTCAGCTCGGAGCTGGCACTTGGGGAGAGGGTCCACAGCCTTCACCACCAGCTCCTGAGGATGCACTGGGCCTGTGGAGGATGGGAACAGGCATCTTGAGTAATGCCACCCAAAAACTTCTTTCTTCCTGGCTTCATGGGAAGAAAAGGAGAAGGAGGAGGAGGAACTCCACTGTATCCACACCTGGGAGCAGGCATGTGCCACCATGGTTCAGCATTCCCAGCAAGGAGGGGCCACAGGGAAGCCACCCTGCTCATCCCTCTTCATCTGCTGACCAGTAAATGTGTGTCCCATCCTAAACCCCTGTGCCCAACAGCTGTGTCCCCAGCAGTGACACAGGCCAGGCTCATCTTCAGGATGACTCAGAGCCTTTCAAAGTACCCCTGAGAGCAGGAGGGTTACCTTGGTCAGCAGCGTTGGGGGCTTTGGGGGCCACACAGGCAGGCAGGTCCTCTAGCAGGAGCCTGGAGATGCTGGTGAGGATCTCAGAGATGGGCTTGATCACAGGAGCCACATCAAACTCCACGGGGACCAGCACCTCTGGGCTCTCCAGAGGTGGAAACAGGGGGAACTCCTGCAGACAGACAAACAGACACCATGAACCAGTCTGGGGAGGACTGTGCAAACCCATTTGCACTCATCATATCTCCCCAGTGGGCAACAAGGGTATCCCAGCATTGCTCAAGCAACTTTTCAGAGACCCCCAAAAAACAGCTCTTTCCCACAGCCCCAGCACATCCCTGAACCAAACTGAGGGTGCATTCCCAGTGGGAATGGGTTGGACATGATTCTGCTGTCATCAGAAGGGTGCAGGCCCAAGCAAATGGGAGAACACAAACAGTGCCAGAGTGGTACCTGCAGGAAGCTCCTGTGGTCAGGGCAGGCCAGCAGGCTCTGAGCCTTCTCCATGTGCTGGCCAAGGATGTCCAGGCGGTCCTTACACAGGTTCCAGTTCTTGTCCACATGCTCCAGTGCCACCCTCTGCTCTTGCTCAATCCTGGCCACTGTCTGACACTGGAAATCCTCCAGAGCTTTCTTCAGATGGGTGAATTTGCTCTGAATCCCATCTTTCAGTTCAGAGCAGTCCTGGGCAGGAAGAGCCATGAGAACCAGCGTGCTCCCACCCACAGGCCAGCACAGGGAGGCTGCAGCGTTACCTTGATGCTCTCTGTCTGCAACTCCAGCTCCTTCATTGCCTGTTCAATCCTCTCTGATTCCTCCTGGGCTTTTTCCAGGGATTCTTTCAAAAAGGTCTGTGAAGGGAGGCATAGGATAACAGAATAGAATAGAATAGAATAGAATAGAATAGAATAGAATAGTTGGAAAATACATCCAAGATCATTGAGTTCAACCTGTGACTGAACACCCTCAACTAGCCCAGAGCACTGAGTTTCATATCCAGTCATTTCTCCCAGTCATGTCCAGTTGCACATCCTGTGGAACAGCCCACTGCTGCCCTCCTGGCTCCCAGGACCCTTTCAGGGATACAGGACAAGGCTAAGAGGAAAGGAGGCAGCCTGGGAAGGGGACTCTGCGTCAGGATAACAAGTAAGTGATTTTTTGTGCTGCCTATCACCCTTTTTTAGCTGTTTCCTTTAGATCAGAGGGTAACAAACACACGTTCATCTCGTGCTGCTGGATTTACCCAGCTCACTGCTGCCCCCGACAACACCCGGTTTCTCAAGGAGCAGCCGGGCACTGGTGGCACCTCCCTGGCCAGCCCCGTGTCCAGCTGCGGCTGGGCAGCCTGGCACACAGAGGGACATCACGTCCCTGCAGCAGCACACGGGGCAGTGGAGTGGATGTCGCGCGTGCCTGAGCTGTCACAACACCCCTGGCTTCTCCCATGGCCCCCAGCCCTGTCACCCACCTGCTTTTTGGCTCGCTCCTCCTCGAAGAGCACCCGCCGGTGCCGCTGGCAGTCCCGGACGGTGCAGATGCAGCAGATGCAGCGCCGCTCGTCCTCGCAGTACAGCTCCAGCGGCCGCCCGTGCTGCCGGCACAGCTCGGCCGGGGCCACCTCGCAGCGGCCCGCGGCCGAGCCCCGCTCCTCACTGTCCCGGGCCAGCTCCACCACGCTGTGCAGGGTGACATTCTTCTTCAGCTCCGGGCACCGCTCGAAGCCCCTGCGGCACTCCGGGCAGGTGTAGTTCGCCTCGGTGCCGGCGGCCGCCTGCTTTTGCTTGTCCCAGTGGTCGCTGATGCAGCGCTTGCAGAAGTTGTGGCCGCAGGGCAAAGTCACGGGCACCCTGAACAGCTCCAGGCAGATGGAGCACACCAGCTTCTCCTCCAGCTTCTGAGACATGGGTGATGCCATCCTGCCTGTGCCCGAGACCGCGGCAAGAAGCCGGGGAAATGGAAACTAAGGAGCGCAGAAGAAGACGAGGTGGTGACGCTGTGCCCAGAGGCGGGGCAGGGCTCCCGGCCAGACGCACTCCTAAAGTGACACCCGGTGGCTGTCCCTGGTCACACTGGCTGTGCCACAGGCTGCGGAGGGAGGGTTGGAGCCGCTCCCCGGGGAGAGAGAGGGCTGGGAAGCACCCTGAGAGACTCCGGAGAGGATGGAATGCTGCAGTGACAGCACAGGGAGACACGCGGGAGGCTAACAGGGATCAGAGTAATTTGTATTTCCAAATGAACACGTTTGCGGGGCACACATCCATGTGCAATTGGATTTTCACTCCTTTACTGCCTTTTGAGGGGACTTCCAGGCATCCTCAGCTCTGCCAGGGCTGGGTCTCTGAGCTGAGCATGGCAGTTCCCCCTGGCACAGAGCCCTCTGTGCAGAGCTCCTGCCTGGGAGCCAGCAGAGAGGCACCCACTGCTGCTGCAGCCACATGTCACCTCCCTGTGCCGTGGCAAGGCTGTGACACATGCCAGCACTGTGTTCTTCCCTTGAACCACAGCTCCTGCTGTTTGCCATGTCCCCATGCACACCCAGCACACCTTTTCCTACAAACTGCCTTGCAACACCTGTGCACATCAGCACTCTGAAATGCAATAAAGATGCCACCTGGGCCACCTGTTCCTGCTCAGGTGGAATCTCCTGCCTGGAGGCCAGTGCAGTGCCTGTGCACTGCAAACCTTCCCCTCGCCGTCACACAGTTCAGTTTCAGTTTTCCCAGCCCAAGACTTATCTCTACCAGGCCCATGTGCTATCTTGCTCATGTCCCCAGGCTGCTGGGACAGCCTTTTTTTTCTAGCCTCCCCTCACGAGCAGCTTCCCTTTCAGGTGCACAGGTGAGGGCAAGCAGGGAGCAGGTCTCTGGTGGTTCATCCAGACCAGCTTCCATACCACAGGCAGAGCTACCCTGACGACAGGAGAGAACTCAGGATATGTCACAGCTCCCTGCATGTCCCAGCAAGCTTCAGCTCCGAAACATTCCTTTGGGTTGCATCTGTCAATTCTGACCAAATATTTAAAGCCCAGAGAGGCTAACATGACCTGTGTGTCTGCCTGGAACCTGTGTCCCCACCGTGGGCACCTCCCCAGTGCACTCACCCCAGATTAAACTAGACCCCAGAATCTTTCAGGCTGGAGGGGAGTTCAAGGGGCTCTGGAGTAACAGGCTCCTCCCAATAAAGACAGCTTTGCCAGCACTACTCAGAGAGTGTTTAATCAGACTCAATCCTCCAGAAGGACTGCACAAATAAAATCTGACACAGTCCTGAACCACGGCACTGTGAGAGGAAGAAATCCAGACTGGCCTGCTCTCTTTGTTCCGTAAACAGGCAAAAGGAAAACTGCAATCCTTGCAGGAAAGAAAGGCAGATTGTCGCTGGGGAGATGCAGCCTGCCAGCCACTGCTCAGCTCTGCTGCAGAATCAGGAGCAAGGTTTCAGCCTGGCCATGAATTCACTTTGAATGTTCTCACTGAGCAGCCTCTTGACCACGCAGCTGCCAGCCCTGTGAGCACCCAACGCCAGCTCCCAGCACAGGGAAACTGAGCTGAGGGGCTCAGACTTTGTCATTTCCTTCCTGAGGCATTGAGGGGGGCACAGGAAATCCAGGAGCCAGCATCCCACGGACACAGAGAGGGACAGCTCCTAGTAGATGCCGTAGGTGGGCTCCTCTGTGTCTCTGTACCTGTCCAGGTACCTCAGGGGCTGGTGACGAGGGAACTTCACCTGCGGAGGGTGGTAGGGGGGCGGCCGCACGAACTCGAACACGGGCTCCCTCATGTCTGCAGAGAGTGACAGGGTCAGCAGGGGGGCTCACATCTGAGCCCCACACAGGACCAGCGCTGCTCAAACATGCCCTTGGAGTTATTTTAAAATCCTCAGCCAAGGATTAGGAGTTGCTCCTTCAGGCTGCTGTTAGTTTGGAGGAGGATGGCTCAGGAAGGGCTTAGTTTGTGCTGATCCTGGACAAGTGCCAAGATCAAGTAAGAGCCTGCAGCCACAGGGCCATGTCCCACCCACAGACTCCCCCTTCAGCGTCCCCATTGCTTACTGAGCAGCTGATGGAAGGTGGAAGTGACAGAGCTGTCCCACTGACACTGGAAAAATGCCAGCCCTGCCGGGGTCATGGCATCCTTATGCTTTCTGTAGAAGTCAAATGTACTAAAGGTTCTCATCTTCAGGCTGTAGCTGAAAACAAGACATGAGCACCAAGTGAATCTCTCCTTGCAGCAGTACCTTCTTCCACATCACCCCAGGGCATATGAGAAAGGTGGAAAAAAAAGCCACTAAGAGGAAATTTCCCAGTGTCTCCAGCTCCATGCACATTTCTGGGCAGGACAAACCACTCTCTAACAGCCTCTTCTGTAACAATGGGACTCTGCAGTGCTGGGATTGTGGCTGCAGAGGGCACACAAACCCAAAGCAGCCCTGGAGAACTCTGCAGAGTGACAGGAGCTGCTCCTCCAGTGCAGTGACAGGTACACAAACCCCACAAGCAGCAGCAGCCAAGCCCAGCTCTGCAGTGAGCAGAGGAATTACCACGGTGCTGGCCGAGCGTCCTGGCTGAAATCGATGGGACCGTGTTGCTTGAAGAGCAGGAAGATGAAGCGGTGGTAGCCCGTCCCCATGGCAGGGAAGGGGGGCAGGTAGTGGCACATCTCCTTACCAGCCTTGATGTCACTGCCTGGGATGTTGGTCCTGGACACAAACACATTTACACTCATTTCCCTCCAGCAGATTCATCCAGGACTGCAAATCCCTCTGCCATGCTGTGATGTGATTGCTGCCCCGTTTGATAAGGGAACAGATAGTAGTAATCGATTTCACCACAGGAAAAATCCCACCCAGTGACTGGAATGCTGAACAGCAGCAACATCTGGAACTCCTGCATCCTTAACAAGACCCAGAACACAGGGCTGAAGGAGCTAATGGCAGGAGCAGCAGGAAAAGCCATGGATTCTGAGCTGTTGGAGGAGTTTTTGCCCAGGCCACAAGCACAGAGCACATGGCTCTGATGTACTCACACCAGCCAGTGGAGGTACTCGGAGTCTGCATCCCTCAAATGTCCATCTGCCAACACACAACAGGGAAAAGTGACTTAGGGACACCCTGGTGCCAGCATCCACCCCAAAGTGAGAACGCCCAGACTGCTCTGATCAGAGGGAACAGTTCAAGACCTCTCAACATTCCTTCCCTGGCAGGAAAGGAACTCATTCCTATTGGACTGAGTTTAAAATGAGGAGCAAAGAACTCTGCAGATCTAATTCCAAGATTCTTGAAATCTTCTTGGGTAGCTGCATCCTTCACTGTGCCTTGGTCTTTCAGGGTGAACAGTGTCAGCAAAGCTGCCTTCCAGGCAGACTGCCAAGGAAGAGGAGTTTGGAGGTAAACAAAGATGGGAGTCAGGAAATTGTTTCCTCTATAGTGTGACACAGGTCCTGTTGTGTCACTGTCCCTTCTCTCAAGTGCAATGGATTTGGAGAGGCTACAGTCTTTCCTCCATATGTAATAAGTCCCAGACTAACAGATATAACATCACAGAATCACAGCACAGCTTGGGACCTTAAAGCTCATCTCATCCCACCCCCTGCCATGGGCAGGGACACCTTCAGTAGACCAGGTTACTCCAACTTGGCCTTGAACCCTTCCAGTGTTCATTATCTCTGTGCAGCCAAAATAATCAGGAGTTAACCAAAAGCTGAGTGAAACAACCTAGTTTAAACATGTTCCTTTAAAGAACCTGCTGCTCACCTGGATTTGTGAGTAACAAGGTCCAGAGGGAGCCTTTGTCTGCCTCATATGACACTGCAGGGGGACTGGAAGCCTAAAAGAGCAACATAAAGAGACTGTAAATCACTCACACAACAGCTTCCATGAACTCTGTCTGGGCAAGGCTTGGACACAACACAGACTGGACACTGCCAGGCCACTGAGGAATCCACCTGGAGAGCCCCAGGGCATAAATAACCATCAGCCTCCTGCCACACAACCTAAAATCTCTGTCCCTATCACAACCATCAAATATTTTCCTTCAGCACAGAGGAAACACCCTTGTAAAAGGCATCCCCTGGAATGAACCATGCCATTGGAAGCACCTGTCACAAAGAGGCTTCCCAGGGGCTCCAAGTCGTTCCCATCTCCCTTCTCGCACCTCTGATGGAGTCACCATGTTCCCGTAGTAGACTGGCACGAGGTGCTCGTCCTCCTGGCTGTACTCCACCCTCAGGGCCACCCAGGGGGTGAAGGTGGCCCCCTTGAACAGGTCCCGGAACACCCCACAGTGCTTGGCCACGCGCTGCTTGTGGAACGGGCCACTGGTCCTCTCCCACTCAGCCCTGACCTCGTCCAGGGGAATGAGCTCTGCAAGGAGAGAGGGAGGATGCAGAAGCAGCAGCTGGACACCCAGAGCAGCTGGAGCAGGAAGGGAGGTGCTGGGGCACTGACCAGTCCGGAGCCGCGCTGCTCGTTCCATCTCAGCATTCCGGCGGTTCTCCCTCAGGATCCTCTTTCTTTCCTTGAGCTCCTTTGCCCGTGATGACCTCTCACGTGGCAGGCCAATGTCTGTCTCAGGCTCTTCAGGGAGGGGTGAAAAAAGAGGAGGTGAAACATGTGAGCACCCAAACCACCCAAACACAAACCCCTGTGAAACGTCTGAGAGTGTGAGACAAAGAGTTCCAGAGATCAGGATGACAGCGGGGTTTGGGTTGGGAGGGGCATTGAAGACCATCCACTTCCAACCCTGCCATGGACAAGGACACCTCCCTCTAGAAAAGACCTGAAGGAACAATCAGGCCTTGATTCTGTCCCCTCTGCACCTCCTTCCCCAGCTCATGGCCCTCCCATTCCCAGCTGTGTTATCTGCTGCACGCCTGAAGCTCTGGCTCTCTGCTCTCCGTGGCACCAGCAGGGCTTCAAGGAATCGCTCTTTTGCTCTGTGTCTTTTGGCAGGTCCTGGCCAGCCTCTCTCCCTCTGGAAAACCACTTTCCCCTGGAGATATCTGCACACGGGACAGGGCTAAGCCTGTGCCAGAGCCCCTGGGGTTTGGGGACA